TTGATTTTTAAACGCGCCCCATTTTGCGGCAGCCACATTAGCATATATCTGCATATATGTGGATGGCTGGTTGGCTGACTGGCTGAATATATATGTAAATGGATATAGTCGCTTGTAGCGGGACAAGATACTTATGATTCACGCACGACTCGGGCAAAGATTGGAGCCACTTGAAGGTGCCGCAGGCGCTGATTGTGTTGACACCCCGGGCCAAAGTACCGCCCTCTCATTCAGCCCCATTTTCCCTACCATCCTACCATCCCACCATCCCAGCTCCATTATAATCGCTCGAGTACTTGGTAAAAAGCCAATAAAGGAGAGGAAAATGAAAATATTTCCCTTTGAGCTGACTGACAGCGAAGGTGAGCAGAGAATGGGGAGTGGGGCATGTTAACGTTATCAAAAGGGATGAATCAACTCACATTATGCATTCACAATTTGTTTTGGCTCTGAGCCGGGGGAAGTATGCAAATAATACAGTTTTAACTGTATAGTAACTAAGGAAAAATGTATGTAATGTAGCAGGAGTTAAAACAAGAAATAACCAAGATACTCGAGATGAGAAACAAGTTCCTAAAGGCGTTTAAAGGTAATCTTATTTTAATACGCAGGGTAAATTTTCAAATTAGATAATTCATCAAAAACTTATGAGCTAATATTGAAATTCAAGCAGTGCCAGCAGTCGCTTCGGCTGAGTAATGGGTATTTGATAGTCGAGGTACTCGATTTAACTTTCTCTCTTCTTATTTTATTCTTTTTGCATATTGTAACCACTTATTTGTGTAAGGCTTTTAAGAAACTTCTTAAAATGCATAACCATCGCATTGCAAGTCCTTTAAAACTTTGTGATCTCATTATAGCCGCTCGACTAAATGTTCGGTTTCAAGTACTAAGTACTTAATTTCCTCGCCGGCGCAAAAGTAAAATAAAAACCCATGATTAAAAGGTGCAAACAGAGCACTTTTAAGGCAAATCCACACGGCAAATTGCGTTGTCAGGGGAAAAAAGCGGGGAAAAGCGGGGAAAAGCGGGGAAGAAACGAGGAGGGATGCATTTCACTAACTAGTTCGCCGCTCTCTTCCTCGTTCATAAAATGCAAATACAAAAATTATACAAGCACAAAGAAGTCTTTTGCAGCGCTTTGTGATTTTACTTATTCTTTTGTTTAATTTGTACTCGCACCGCCCGCGCTTCTACAGGATGTCTTCATCATAATTACAAACAAAGCATAACTAGGGGGAAAACAGCAGACAAACAACAGCAACAGCAGCAACATTGCCACGAACAACAGCAACATCAGCAGGCGGCGCCGCAAAAGAAGTAGCAATCGTGCAATTGTTTGCACAGCAAGTTGCTGCGGAGACTCGCCAAAAAGCACAAGAAAAGCAAAAATATGGCAAAGAAAAAGGAAAAAAATATGTATATAAAAAAAATATATTTTTAAAAGTCAACAAACGGCGGCAACAGAACATCTGCTGCACTTCCAGTTGCACTTGTGCAGCTTTAGTCCCTGCTGATATTTCTAATATGTTTTCGAGAGTTGCCCGAAAAGTTGGCGAACCAGCTATATTAAATTATATAATATTTTCTACAAAGATATATTCAGTATCTTCTCTTTTTTAAAGCTACCAATACAAATAATTGGCTGGGGTTATTTTATTTTTTTGTTTCTTATTTTCTTTTTTTAGGTACAAGTATCTATTGATTTTGCGTTACTAACGACATTGATTCTGTAATACTTTAAGATGATTACGCTGCACTTATTGCCCCTATTACTGGGACAACAATTGCTATTGTTGCTAGATTGCGACTCTTATTAGAGGAGCAACAGCGGCAACAATAGCTGCAATAAGTTGCATTTCACTTGCATTAAGGAATGGCGCATCTGTTTTGCCATTGAGTTAAACGTCATAAATGATAGGATTTCAAGGAAAAGGATGACAGAACAACAAAACGAAACAGTCAAAGCATTTTTTGATTTTTTCAAAGCCTTGAATAGCTCAGAGGTAAGAGAGTTTGACTCTTGTCCTGAAGGTTAGGGGTTCGAGTCCTTGAGGAAAACAACTTTTTTTCTTTTGCTTATTATAAATACTTAAATTATAATTTATTAAAATAAACTATAAATTTAAATATCCTCTGGATATTATGGGTTATAGCCAATGCTGCATTTGTTGAACGATTATTTCAATGTACATTCGATTATTTACCTACTTTTATCTGTACTACCAACCTAGATATTTGGCATGTTAATAATTGAATGTCTCACCCATTTTCATTGCGTTTTTAATAATTCCAGCAAAAGGACACATGGGCATATGTGTTAATGCGTTAGTTTCCATTTCAAGTGGAATTTGTATAAATACCAATTTGTAGCCGGTCTCGAAAGGCTGTAGCAATTGGCCATCAAGATATTAACAGTCATAAATAAATATGTTTATACACGGCCATAAAAGTATTTATGTATGCATAATAACTGCAATTGCTGTGGGTAAATTAAATTGGTATTTCGTGGGGCGATAAAAAGAGGCGGAGTGAAGGAGATGAATCACTCGGGTGGATATAAAAACAAAGTTAATCGACTGATAAGTGACTTATCCAGCGCTAAGTGTTGCCTTCAATATATATGTATCTGTATGTATTAAATGGTTATATACTCCCTGAATTTTTGCCATCCCCGATTTCTTTTTCTCCATTCTCTGAGCGTTTTTTATTTCATTTCTTTGTTGATGGAATTTTTTTGCGCCAAAGAGATGAAAGTGCCTCCCCCTCTCGCGCGTTCCACCCGCATCACAATGGCCAAGAAGATGCTTTTTTTGAATTTTTCAATTAAATGTTAATTAAGTTAATGAAATGCCTGCCGCACCCCGCATATACGGTGCGTTTCGGAAAAGCGGGGCAAACTCGGGAAAAGTTGAAATAAAATTGCCAAATTTATGACCAGCATTCCTTTAGACTCTTCTTAATTTCACTGGATTTTTGGCCAAAAAGCTCTGCCACAAGAATTTTCAGCTCTGCCACCAGAAAGTTGCTAGGCAATATTCACAAAAGAAATTTAATTATTTAAAAAAAAAAAAACAGAAAAAAAGGTGAGAGCTATATTCAGCTGCCGCAAAAAACCCCTTAATTGAAGAGGTTACTAGGAATCGCAATTAACTGTTTTTTTACGGCTGAAAGCGGATACGGGAAGTGTTTTAATTATGCAAATGTTGATTTATCCCTTTTTAATGCATCGTACATTTCACATTCCAAAGAGGTTGGCTTTTAAACAGCGCTTTTGATTAAATGTAATTATTGGAATAAATGTTAAGTTATTAAATAAAAAATAAAAACGAAAAAAAAAATACAAAAAGTGTTTTTTTGTTTATATGTACAAAGGAGTGTATTCTTGTGTTTTTTTCACTTTATGCTTAAACCTATTGAAGTGTCCCGGTGACTTTCGCCCACTGTGATGTAATTCGTTTATTTGCTCAGCTCAACATAAGGTCTGCTTATGTGCCGTGCTCTTAGTTCAACCGGGATTCGAACCCGGACCGGCGGCATTAGGTTTCAATAACTAGGAGTAGGAACTCAGCTCACTAGGCTGCCGCCGGCGGCGATGTGACAGCTTCCTAGGGATTAACTTGAACCTCCCGGCTACTTTGATTTGTTCAAAATGGGTTTCCCTGCCCTGGTTATTCAGCCCTCGATTTAAATACAGGGCGGGAAAATCCTTATATTCGATTTTATTTTAGTGGTAGAATATTAAAAGACTATTACCATTTTTTTCATATTGAATTTATCAAGCATTATATCAAATCCTACTTAAAGCAGTACCCAGAAAATTTTCTTCTGTCTAAATAATTCGAAAATATTAATATATAAAATGAATAATAAAATATAAAATACTGTAAAAAAGATATTAATTAATAAATAAAACAGAAATAAATAATAAAAAGGCATACGAAACTGTTAAATATAATAAAAATAATATTAATCACCAACTAAACTATCCTAAGCGAACTTTAGTCCTTCTGTTCCTATAGTTCTATAATAAATGATAATAATAAAATGTATCAAACTTAAAAAAAGTAAAGAAAAGTTAATTCCATTGATCTGCATTAATGATATGAAAAACGGCTAAACTCACATTTGATTCTTTTAGTTTTCTCTTAAGCCCATTGAAAATGTTTCGTTTCATAAACCCACCCGGAACACACACACTCTATTATATGGCACACTCGCCTGGAAATCAGCTATTAAAATTTCCGTTTGACAAGAGTGTTTTGTTAAGCCCACCGTAATGCCACCTTCTTTTGGCCGCACTTTGTCATCAGCTTTGCGCTGCTCGTCTTTGTACATATATCTCTAAATATACGTACATATTTTTGTAGTCAAGAGTGCGCCGGGTATTTATGCACCGTCGTCGTCCCCGGGCCTCTGCTCCTAATTAGTTAATGTAGAAGAGCGAGGCCTGTCACTCCACTCCGACGCTCCAATCTGCTCGCAAAGAGATGGAAATGGAGATGGGCTGAAGCTGGAGTACCCAAGTTGGTTCCCCTGGCGTTTGGTTCCTCGGTCTCAGCACGCGGCATGTTACAAAGAACATTTTTGGAATCTCTGGAGGAGGGAAGAAGGGAGGGATGGGGAGGCTGAGCATCCTGCTTTGCGGCAGCTGTTTCCCCCATATAGCTCAGTTTGGCCCTAATGAAATATATGGGGACAGGCTTCAAAGCAGATTTTACATCCAGAAAATACAGCCACCCCCCCTTTGGCAGCCCACTAAGCAAATGTGCGCGTGTGTTGTATGTATTTTTAATGTCGTAGAGTCCTACCTACCCAACAACAAACCTCCGCCCACCTCCGCCCACCTCCGCCCCCCTTTGGGCATTAAAAATGTAAACGCTTTACGGGCCACGCGGCGTATGCTTAATGCATAACGTATACGCACTGTGCGCCGCTCGCATACAAATAAAACGAAATGAACTCTTTTTCTCTTCTCTTTTTTCCCGACTGATTCACAGGTAAACGTGAGCAACACCTGGACGATGCCGCAGGAGGGCCTCAATGTCTTCTATCGCTTCTTCCGCGATCGCATTTCCTGGTTCGAGGCCGATGCCGTCTGCCAGTTTCATCATGCCAATCTAGTGACGGGTAAGCACTCGCTTGGAAAATCAGCAAAAAGCCAGAGAAGCCCTGCTAAATGCCAGAAAGAAATGGAAGTAAAAAATGCAAATAAGCCTAGACGAGGAGGGGGTAAACCCACATTATTACAAATGTCCGGCCAACGAGCGAGTGTCACCTAGCAACGAATGCAGCCAGGACTCCAAAGTGGAGATAGGGGGTTGCATAGGGTGCAAAAGACAGATGCCAAAGGGACGTTGCCATTGTGGTTCGCAAATGAATGAAATGACAGCAAAGTGACGCAGCCACAGTCGAGTCTTTTATGTGGCCGGACCCCAAAAGCTTTGCCATACAATCTCAACCTCTGGCCCTCTTCTGCCCCTCGTTTACCGCATTGCTTTTGCTTTTCATTTCTATTCTAGGGAGGGTTTTCCAACCAAACTAAACCAACCCAACCAACCAACCAACCGACCGACCGACCGACCTCATAATACAATAAATCCTCCTGACAAATGCTGTCGCTGCAGTGGCGGCGGGTTCATGGGTGCAGAGGGATCTACAACAGTACCAGGTCGAGATTGGGGTCAACGTTGGCCAGATAAAGATGGCCAAACAGTTCAGTGCATCTAAATCACAATCAGCCGGTCGCTCAAATGACCCAAAACAACCAGAAAGTTGCCAATATATCTGCTTTCAGCAAAAGTTCCTGTGATCTTTGCTGCGGCGAAGGGGAGAAGCGAATAAAAGTCAGACAGAGCAAATTTATTCATTTGAATTAAAAAGGATTTCAGCATAAAATATTCCCAATTAATTCTTTAGATTTCTCCTATAAAATGCTTAGCATTAAGAATCACTTTTAAACTACCCAATTAATCATTGCGATTATAATTCTTGAAAATTATAGAAAATTATAATTTCGAGAAAAAGCAAACTGTCGACATTTTTTCAAGCTCTACTTTCTGGATTTGTTGATTAATACTTGGCGAGCAGTTAAATCTTTTTGGGGTCAAGGGTCGATTTGTTGACATGGCACACATATTTTTTGTACTTTTTTCTGTTTTTTTGGCAGCATATGCAAATGTAGGAACGTGTGTGACACAAGGGGTAACACAAACAATAGCTAAATAAGAATCGCAAACAGGAACGAAAACAGAAAACAGAAAACGACACCAGAGAACAGGAAAAATGAAAACAAAAATAATTTTCAACAGCGTTTTGTTAACAATTTGTGTTGTCACTGGAGGGTAACATCGAGCTGATGGCTTTCCACAGCCGAAAAACTCAATAGAAACAAAAAGCTAAAACAAAAATATAGAAATAGAAGCAGGAAAAATATATAAAAAAAAAAACAACAAGGGAGGAGGCGAATTTAATAGAAATACTCCGTGTGTGGAACAAATAAAAACCATTTGTCGTCTCGTTTTCATTTGAACTATTCTCTATGCTCATCCTTTTTTCGTTTGTTTTTTCTCGTTCTTTTTCTCGTTTTGTTTTTCCAAATGTCCCGTGTCCTTACAGTCGACAACAGTTTTCAATTCGATGCAACGCGCGACCTGCTGAGGGAATTGGATGTGAACGACATCGTTTGGATTGGTCTCATGCGACCGCAGAACTCGGATCGTTTTATGTGGTCGTAAGTACAACAATAGCAACGGGAACATCAACATCAACACCAGCAACAAAAGCATGGCACCAGGATACACAAGGATACACCGAAACAGGATGTGGGGATGCAGCCGAAAGGGATTGTGTGACAATTGTCCTGTTGGGGCCGACATGTGTATAGTGGTCCTCCATTTAGGAACAGATCGCACTACGAGTCGCAATCGAAATCGGAATGGGGGGCTATTGGGTCCGGGGGCTATTCCCAAGTGGAAAAAAGCATACATGATACACTAAGTGAAATCGAGAAGGGATGGCAAATAAAATAATAATGCAGAGGCTGCCGGATATCGGCTTTCATAACTTTGACTTTCAGCCAATTAAATGTGGAAAGCCCAACCGAGTAACGAGGGAAAGAGTGAAGCATATCCGATTTCATAAATTAATTGGGCAACATATTCTAGTAATTATTCTAAAAGTTTGGTTCAATTTGCAGAGAATAGCGAATTGAAATCAAGAAGGGTGCATCATAAAAGGTACATTCGAATATTAATTACTAATTAAACGGAACAACAAAACAAGCGCGTAGTTATTGAAAATTCGTTTGTTTGAATTTCCACTAAGTGCACATGATGCACAAATTGAAATCGAGAAGGATGTTTTGGTTATTTTACTTATTTATTTTCTAAGCGATTTTATAGGAACTAGGAATTTTTTATAAATATGTCGGAAAACCTATAAAAAGATTACAAGTCGTTGAGAACCCTCGACTACTAGATACCCTCTACAAAGCTAAGCGAAGTGTGAGGAAGATTAAGTTATGTATTCAGTAAATCTACTGCTTGCACTGCTTGCTTTTCATTATTTGCTCATAAGTTATGAGTCATAACTTTTAAACGAATGGTCCGATTGAAAAATTTTCTTCTACATTTCGATGGGTAATATTAAACACAACCAAATAGCATTTACAATGTTAGAACATTTTAAATGATTAGATCGACTCGGCTAGTGATCCTGATCACTTTACATATCCCTCTTTCACTCTTCGAGTAACGGGTAAAAAAATCACTTTTCCGCTCATCTGAACTCTTTTTTTCGGGGTGGTGCTTAGGAACTCTCGTCCTTTGGTGGCCGACACTGGATACTGGGCCGAATCCCTGCCCTTGATGGATGCTCCGCTCTGCGCCGTCATCGATCCCATCCGTGATTACCGCTGGCACGCCCTTCGTTGCGGCGGACCGGAAACGGCCTCCTTCCTCTGCGAAATGCCAGGTAAGTCGCGATTTCTTGGTTTCCAGGGATCCCAGGCTAACTGATCTCTGATCATGGATCATCATACCCACCTGCAGTTCCGAGCTGGGCAGATGCCTGCATACTGAAGGACATGCCCAATTTGACCATGCAGTACATGGCGGACACGGCCAGCATCGAGCTCATCCGCAATTGCCAGGAGGAGGGACTCCTGCGACACACCTGCAAGGGCAAGGAGGTGAGTTGGCAGTGGGCTTAATCTTAAAAATCTTAAAATATTAATTTTAAATGAAAAAACAAACAAATATACCCTATAAGTATCATATATTTTTTTTTCTTGTAATGGAAGATATTTTGTTTGCCTATTTCACAGTTTATTAGGAATAGCTATGATTTTTTTAAGGAATTATGATAATTATAATTACTTAGGAATTACTTTCGTTAAAAAAAAAAAATAAAAGAAGTTAAAATCAACTTTAAAAAAAATTATACTGCAAAAGTGGGATTTGAACCCAAAACCCAGAGATTATGGGACAGACACTCTAACAACTTTAAGTCCAGAAAAATATAAATCTACAATTTAGAGTTTTATTTGTACATGTCAATGAAGAGAAAGAAAACATAACAACAAATTACACCTAAACAAATAAAATAGTTTTGCTACATTTTTTAATTGTGATGTTACTATTAATTTTCCTAAGGAATAACACCACAAAATACATGAAAATTTCGTAAATAGATGTTTTACTATTTTAATTTTGAAATACAGCAAAGTTCATGAAAATTTCCTAATGCAGAGAAATACTATTTTTCTATGTTGATTTTATAGTTTTGCGATTTTATAAATAATTTAAAATTATGATACTTGACTTTAATACGTTCCTAAAATTGGTTTTAATTTTTTTTTTTTTCTTAACTATTCTTTTTTTTACTACATATTTTGCCAGGATCGTGAGCGAGCCATCCGCCAGCTGATCTGCCCTAAGGAGCGCTTGGAGGCGCAGCGCATCAACGACATCACCAACTCGCACTTCAAGTCGCTGCAGATAATCAACAACATTCGCACCGACAACAAGGAGAACAACGACATCGATCTGCTGCCCAACTACGGACGTCGCTCCGGGATGGCCATTAATATCGAGGTGGCACCGCCAGTGGCGCCCGTTTCCGTTTCGGTTCCCGGCCTGGGTGAGCTAATGCAGGCAGATGCACCGGGCTCCGTGTCGCTATCGGGTTTGTATCGCATTCCCGACCTGGTTCCCAAGCCGGTGAAGAAGGCGGCCAAGAAGGTGATCACGCCGGACTTTGCCAAGAAGCTGCAGGGCAGCCACCAGCAGCAGCAGCAGCACAGCCAGCAGCAGCAGCAGCAACAGAAGTCGCGCAAGTCGCTGGTCCATCAGCACGAGGAGGAGCTGATGATGGGCGACCAGCCGGCACTCAGCGAGGAGCAACTGCCGCAGGGAATGGGCATGGGCATGGGCATGCCAATGCCACTCAACGAGGATGACATTAGCAACAGCGAAGCCTCCAATGAGATATTCGAACACTTGCCGCACAAGAAGAAGATCCTGCCGCAGGATTTGCGCACCATGTCGCCAATTGCTGAGGCAACGACAACTACAACATTGAAGACGACAACCCTGGCGGCACCGGCAACAGCAACATCCCCGAGACCAACAACAACTACAGCTGCAACTACGGCAACAACCGAAGGACCACCGACCACACCAAAAGCCGTGGACACCACAAGTTCGCAGGCGCCAGCAACAACGAGCAGGCCGGAAACAACCATTAGAACCACCACCATAACAACGACCACCACAACAACAACAACAACCCCCCGGCCGGAGGAGGAAACAACAACAACCACCAGGAAGCCGGAGCCAACAACAATGGTTGCACCACGAACAACAAAAACAGCAGCACCAGCAGCAGTAGTAGCAACTTCATCGATGGCCACCACAACAACAACAACAACAAGAGCAGCAGCAACCACACCAGCAACAACAACAACAATCAGTCATCCCACCGACAGCAGCAACAGCAACAGCAACAACAACATGGCCCATCCCATTCATCCCTCGCAGCAGCAGCAACACCACCAGCAACAGTTATTGCACGAAGGCTCAACACTGCTGCAGCAGCAGCAGCAACATGCAACGCACGTCAATGAGTCCGCCGACAATACGCGCTTTATACCGCCAATGCTGCTGGTGAAGTCGCACTATGTGCCACCGGCGAAACATGCCAGCGAGCATGCAACCGCAACAACAACAACCACACTGGCAACAACAACACCGGCCAAAGCGGAATTGCAGCCATCAACAGTCACGTCATCGAAGGAACTGACAGCAGCAACAGCAACAGCAACACCAGCAACACTAGCAACAGCAGCAGCAGACACAGTGGCAACATCAACCGTGACAGCGACAACAGGTGCAGCTGCAGTGGAGGTGACAACAAGCGTGAAAGTAGCTGAAGACACCGCAGCAACATCGACAACAACAACGGCAGCAACAGTAATTGCCAGTGAAGCGCCAGCAGCAGCAACAACTATTGCTGCAAGACCAACCGCAGCTAATGAAATCAAATCGAATGCCACAGCAGCAACATCAACACCAGCAGCAGCTGCAGCAGCTGCAACAGCAACGCCAGCAACTACAACAGCAACATCAGCAACTACAACAGCAAAAGCAACTAAACGAACAAGAACCACTGAGAGGCCAGTGTACAGATACCCGATAAACGAGGGCTCCTTCAAGGTGGATAACAACGGAATGGGCAGCGACGAGGTGGAGGACGAGGAGGACGACCTGGGCCACCGACTGGAGACCGAGGCGGCCACAAAGCGACACAACTTCCTGGAGGAAACCGAGGCGCCATTCAAGCCAAATCGACGACGCTCGCTAACCAAACCGGAAACGGTTAGCTATTTCAAGAAGATCCTGGGCTAAGGACCCCCAGTAGCCGCAGTTCGCAGTTCGCAGTCCGCACTAGTAAACCGTAAAAACAGTAATCGTAACAGTAACCAGAAACTGTTAATCCATAAATAAGGAAAAAAGAAAAAACAAAGAAGGAAGTACACTCCCTGCTGCCACGTAATTGGTCTTCAAAATCAGAGTAAATTGAAACAGTTGTTTGGCTTTCTGCCCCACTGGCCATTTCCTTCTTGAAAATCCACCACCTTAACCCCAACTCCATATCCACATTTTTGAACCAAAAGTTTGCGGAGCTACCGCTTTCCAAAGTCCTGTGTCTCCGGCAGAAATGCCGGAAATCCAAGCGGAAACCCAAAAGAAAACTCAACTCAACTCGACTCGACTCCAAGTTGCAAGTACCGAAATATGTCAATTTTTCACCGGAAAAAAAAGGAAAACGAATGAAAATGCAAACAAACAAACGGGCAAACACAAACGCACACTCGAAAGCAGATACAGATACAGATACAGATACAGATACACTTGCAGTCGGTGAAAGTGCGAATCTGTCAGGTGGGGGGAGAAAAGCCAGAGTAGAAAGAAGTTGGAGATTCAGCTGGAAAAGCAGGGAGTGTGTGTGCGAAGCAAAGGCCAAATCTAAAGTACGATAAATACTACAAGAAAAGTGTTTACAAACGTATACATAAGGCGTCTGCTTTGGATTTCCGTTTGCTTTGCCTACGAGCGACATGTGGTCACACTGGTTCGAAACGAAAGTGCAGTGTGAACAAAGCGGAAAGTGAAAAACACTCGGCAGCAATTATTTCGCCCTTAGCTTTTTACTTGTCGCGCTGTTTTAACACTTTTATAGCCTTTGGATTACTAGAATTTCTTTAATTCCCTTGAAAACAATTCTTATAAATTTTGGATTTCGTAAAACTCAAAAATTCACTTAATTTTTATAAAAAAGCGCTTCCATTTTGACTAAATTGTACATTAATGTCCTTTGATTCCCTAGAATCAAAAGAGCTTTTATAAAATTCTTCTATATCAATAAAAGGTTTCACTTGCCATTTCGTTTAAACATTCAAAAACTCCTGCATAAGCGTATGAAAATCCAAAGCAGCAAGCGCCGTGCAAATTACATATTTACCTAAAAATTATAAAAAAAAATATGAAATAGATGTTGTTTTTTTTTTGGTGTATTAAAATAGTCAAATACAATTTGTGTAAGTGAAGGAGGGGAGGAAAATGCGGGCGTTCGTCATTTGAAAATTTTTAGAAAATTACTTCGAATGATTGCGGCAAATTGGCGGAGCGGAGAAGCGAAAGCGAAAATAAAATGAAAATGAACATGAAAAATGCGTTGCAAGAAACGAGCACACTTAAGATTAAGCTAAAATTTAACGAATCGAAAGAGAAAATCCAAAGAGCAAAATAAAACCGAAAACCGAAAAAAGCGGAGACGAGTCCCTAAATGATACGGAAAAAAGGCCGACAAATAAACAGAAAGCACTTGATGTAGAGAATTATTTGTAGGTACTTGAGAGCAACGGGCAGATTAATACCGTTCCGTTGGGTCGCTCTGAAAAAAAAAAAACCAACATGCAGTAAAATAGTATAAATGTAAACCAAGTAATGAATTATGAATAAAAGAAACCCTTTCAAGAAATTACAAATGCAGCGTCGAATTAATCGGGAAAGGGGATGGAAAATGCAGTGGAAAAGGGGAGAAATCGAGCTGCCTTTATTGGCGTAGATCGACTTTTCATAAGAGTTTTACTTCCGAAAGTTGAATTTTCTTAACGTACCACTTTTTTTAAATTATTAACTTCACCATCAAACTACCTTTGTTCAAGTTCTTATATCCATTATTGCTAACCCATCGAAATCCGATTCCCGAGTGCTAAGTATACCTCCGCCTCCACTTTCCTTTCCTGTCTATTTTCATTTCGTTTTCTTGTATTTTGTTTCCCTTTTTTTCCGCTTCATGTTTTTCTTTTTTTTTAATTTTCATTTTTCTCTTCCTTTGCTTGTTTTTGAGTGCGCGACGCGTGAAAAGCGGCTGGAGGCGTATTTTGTAAATTGAAAAGCACGAGGGCAGGGTCCAATGAGTGCCCCTAACTCAGGGCCCGCCTGTGGAATACCCTAACCGACCGAAAAATGCCTGGGGAGTATGCAAAATACCACAGCTATGGCCCACATGTCGCATACGTAATATTTGGGTCTAGGTAAGTAAATTCGGATCAAAAGCGGTTAGATTTTTAAATGTATGTTTGTAAATAAATGCACAATTAAAACAATTCATAATTTTAATTTTGAAATACAGGTCAGTGAAATTAATTGTTTTATTTTTAAATAAATGTACATTTAAAAAAATCCTAACTTTAATTTTAAAATAAAGGTTTATTAAATTACAGCATTATTGTTAATTTTTTTTTTTTTCAAATATTTTGAAATGTATGCATTTTAATTTTGTTATTTTTCTTCCTTTTCAAATTAATTTACATTTAAAACAATTTATAATTTAAAATATACAAAATCTCCTTTTTAATAAATGAATTCAGGTCAATAGTAAGAAATTACAGTAATAATATTAATTTAGTTTATGCACTCAAAATCCTTGTCAATATATCATAGTTTTACAAGTCCTTTTCCTATCCCTTCTCTTTCACATCTTCTGCCAACTTGCCGGAAATGCCCTGGACTTCTCTAATCAAAAGCCCGTGGTCGTGGCCCGGTTTCGTTTCAACGTAAGTGGATTGTTGGCCAGAATGGTGGCCCGATGTCCGTAATTCGCTCAGACGGAGGATATCGTTGGCGTGTATATGCTCTTGGGCAACTTGGGCATTCCGGAGCTCCTGGTTCTGGTTCTGGTCGATGGTCGTTGCTCGCTGGTCGCTGCCTTTCGTCCTGGCCACAACTGGAGTCCTGACCACCGAAGCGTCCCTTTTAGCTTTGGGTGTATGGCTCCTCGCTTTTTTGCTGTTCTTTTTTTTTTCTCTGGTTTTTTAGCTTTTTTCTTCGTAACAATATTTGCGTGCCTCATGCAAAGGGCAGTCTGCAAAACTGTGGCAACTGAACTGAAAATAGCTGAACACCAGGGGGCGTGGCAGCAGACGCCAAAACGCCCGCACGCCACAAAACTTTCCAAAAAAAGTAGGAGTACACCGTATTTTACGAATTTACCAGCTGAAATTTGAGCTCAGATATGTGCTGTTTAAAGAAATGTTTTATTTGAGAGATCTATTTTGAAAAGAGCAAATTACATTGCGCTAAAATAATATTTCTATCCAAAAGGTATGGGAAAACAGTATATTACTTACTGGAGTTTGAACCCCCGAACTTTGGAGCGAGAGATAGATGTTCTAACCCCTAGGCTACTCAGTACTGTGAAAAATTCGAAAAAAATGCTTCACCTGTTTTTTTTTTGTAAGTCTATCATGACTTTGCCGACTACAAAAGACGTACTCGGCTAAAGTTATTGGGATATTTAAAAGAAATTATCAACGGAATTGTCGATGGGTCGCCTAAAGTGCGGACAGCGACACAAAGAAGAATCGAAGTGTGCCCAATGCAAAATATGCGTGCGACCGCAGGCATGCTTTGTAACTTTTCAAAAGCAGATGTGACCATCGTGCTTATGAGCTGAACGACCCTTTTATATACTTCTTTATTTGAAAAATTTTATCGAAAGTTAAGCAAATATCTAAAAAATACTACATTAAGTTCAGACAACTTTGTATCAATGTGCAGTTGACTATCTGACTTTAAGTTTTTAATTAATTTAAAAGTAAAGTAGAATTTAAGTAGAATTTTTATTGACTTAGGGCTCGTAGTCTTTTTGCAATCTATTTTCTTCTGGTGCAGCGGCTAACCGGTTAACCGGCTGAATAAGCGTTAAGGGCACACACAGCACTCGGGAAATTTATTACACACACTGCAAGCGCACTTTTATTTCATTTCGGTCGATGGACGCCTTTTACGGCCAACTCGAGGAGCGAATTAAGTGCAGCCGGCGCAGACAGGACGTTCCGCCTTCGGAAAGGAGGCATACCCACACACAGACACACACATGACAACCATTAGGCTGGAAATTAAACTTTTTATTGGGGCAAAAAGGGCACAGGCCGACCATAAAAGGATCTGTGTGTGCCGCCTCCTTCCGCGAGGAGGCTGCAAAATTTCAAATTTATATCAATTGCGGTTGCTCATTGACGCCTCAACGGTTGTACATCCTCCTTCGCCTCCTCCTTTACCGCTTTCTCTGCCTCCTCCACTCTGACAAACGAGTCAAAGTTAATTGAATTTCCACAGGTGAGGCGGTTGTGCAGGTGCGCCACTACACGGGGCATTAATTATGCAGGTGCCACACGAGCTGCAGGCGAACTTGATCTGGCCATCGAACTCAATCAATTCGCACCGAAGATCCCGGCTCACAAAACTAGTGGAATGTCTTAATATGAATGGAATTTATGCTCTTCAGAGGATGGAAAATTTCATCTGAAAGCTGACTGATTTGCAAAGATAAAAAAATAACACAAAATCTGTACAATTCTGAAACCCCTAATTTATCTCTGTTTAAACTGTAAATTAGTCAAATATCATGCAGACATTTAAAGCAAAACATTCGATTTTTAAAGCGCTTCAAATCCGATCGAGTTTTTTTTAGCATACTTTTAGACTCCTTAACAAGTGATTTCAAAACCCTTGGGAATAATGTGGTTCCGTCAAATATAGCTTAGAATAATATGGACAGTTTGCTATTTCTCGATATTTAGTTTGTGTTCTGCCTTTAAAACTTCGATATTATCAAATCGATATTGTAAAAATATCAAAAATTTCTATAATTTTCGAAATCATTTCAGTAAACTAAGAAAAGAAGCCAAAACCCTATAATGCAAAATCATGATCAAAAAAACATATATATATATATATATATTTTGTCTATTCAAAAATCTTTGGGTATGTGCATTAATAAACCCAACATTCTATATCCTATAGTTGTGAACGCTGCTGTCTGTCTGGATCTTTTGCATCGATAAGCCCCGAATCGCTTACCGTTTTGGTTAATCACTTCTCAATCGGCAGCTAGAGGCAACACTTTGGGGACACAATTATCCTAATCCCGCCGTTTCGAGTTGCCATCCTTTCGGCAATCCCATTTCCATATCCATTCGCATTTCTACTAGCTCTACCACTAGCATTTCCATTCGCATTGCGAAAACCATGGAGGAAATGTAAGTGCAAAGTGGATTCCTTGACGGCAGCCTCGGGGGTTGCATCGCGTCATCGAGCTGCAGTCAAATAGCAGTAAACTTCAACTGTCCTCGTCGTCCTTGTCGTCCTTGTCGGGATGCCCGATTTTACCCACCTCCCCCCTTCCACTTTCAGTGGGTTATTTTGGCGAGGGCAATGGCAATGGCAACCGGATGCGGAACCAATTTAACGACGCCATTTCCGCGCACAGGCGACCAAACGTCAGCCAGGCAACTGCAGAATCTCTGCGGCGACCATTGGCATCATGGATGTGGCAGGACCTCCTCCTTCCTCTTCCTGTCTGCCACCAGATTCCCACTCCCATTCCCATTCCCATTCGCATTCACATTCCACAGTTTGTGATGTTGTTTTACCCCCCGTCCACGCGCGGCTGCTATTTTCGGTTGCCATTATTGATTTCCAAAATAAGTTTCCCGCAATTTTAATAGCACAAACGGATCATTAAAAATATGGCAAATTCAATTATGCTCAAAGAAACATTTTTCTGCATTTTGGTTTTGGAAATTTTTAATAGAATCACTCAATGAAATGAAAATAAAGCAAATTAAACAAATTATTCCTTTGAACGTTTAAATTGGCAAAAGCTTTTAAATATAATAAACGAATCATTTATTTTTAATTTAGTCAGTCACACCATCTTAAATTAACTAAATACAAAAAATATATAATAAACATTCTGTCCTAAGAATTTAGTAAAATAAAATGCAATTATTCTCAGCTAAATCAGTTGGTTGAATTTTTTGCTTTACATGTTTCCTCTGAGCGCCTGTCTGTATCAATTTGAAATATCGAACTTTATGCTGGCCGTCAACATTTTAATCAAATAATCGAATAATAGCAAATACAGCCCATAAATTAAATCAGGCTCAAAGTCAAATTCATTCTTGTGGAATTTTGCGTTTGCAACTTTTATAGTTTTTTTCGCCTGTGCGCAAATTGAACATGTCTCTTTTAATTTGTGAAATAACATTTGCGACATATTATGGTTTTCATATTCGCAGATTGGAGCTTTTTCACTTGTTTACTTTACAGGAAAATATATATCTTACTTTGCGCATTTTGCGAAATATTCCGAATTAAAATGGAAACCCCACGGGCCTTTCAGTTTCCTGCCGTATTTACTTGGAATAATAAACATGCCTATTTCAATTTGCAAGCCTTACTGAATTTTCTTTTAATTTGGGTTTAACGTCTATTGTATTTTTAAACATTTTAAGGTATACTCTCTTAGATATTGAATTTAGATATTTGGTATGTACATTTTAAAAACAATAAAAACAATTATTCGCGAAACAAGAGTACCTACTGCATTGAAAAAAAAGTGTTAGTACCAAAGATTTTTAATCCATTGCGGTTTTTATTAATTTTAAATGTAAATATCGTAATGTTAGCAATTTAAGTTAATTTTAATATTTTAGAATGTATGTATATATATTTTTAATTTGTAAAAAAAAAAGTTTTATTGGCATCACTGGTATTTTGTTGATTACATATGTTATTGATTTGGATGAGATTGGATGGTCGCTGGCCTTCTGTATTTGTACCGTGCTACTTACTGACTGGGATTCGAACCCGGACCGGCGGCAGTGTACAAGTTGCAAACTGAAAACTCGATAATCAGCTCACTACACTGGCGCCGGCGGCAATGTGACAGGATCCTAGGGTTAAACTTGAACCTCACCTACTTGGATTTCTTAAAAATTGGATAGGGTTACTATTTTGAACTTTAAGTAATCTAATAGTTGGTCGGGCCGAACTTGACTCGGTAGATCAGCAGCTAAGGCATTTGACCCATAACCTTTAACATATGGGTTCGATTCCAGGTTTGAAATTCCTTTTTTCTTTGTGGTTAACTATATTTAAGCTCCGTAGTGCTTTTAATTTCATGTAATATTTACTTGGAATAATAAACATGCCTATTTCAATTAACTAGCTTAACTTATTTCTCTCTATTTCTAAACATTTTACAATTTTATTCTCTCTTCGATAGACTTTTATTTGTATGGTTTTAAATATTAATTGTTTGTTTGAAATAAAATTTTTTGTTTTTATTCTGTTCCTGAAAGTGAAATGTTTTTCTTACAATTATGTGATTTTTATTCATTTATTTGTAATAAAAGACATTTATATAACGAGAACTTCTAAAATTGCTTTTCTACTTTCACATTAACTTTCTCAACCAAGACGTTTTCCTTCGCCAGCAATAAATAACTTACTTTACGCATTCGCAGGTTGTACTGAATTAAATTTGAAACCCCATCAGGATCCCCATTTCCTGAGTTCCTGATTTCCCGGTTTCCTGGGGCCCAACCGCAGCGCTGTCTATTTCCGCTTGTGGATGCGATGCGCATTTATTACTCGCCTTCGCTCGCCCGATATCAGCGACCGACTTGACTTGGCCGCAATCGTTTAAGCCGTTTTGAGCCAGCCGCAAGCAAACCGAGAGCAATCCCCCAAATTGCCGCCAAAGAACATTGCCAGTAACTGCCACATGGCCCACACAAACGCACGTCTATATATATTTCGATATGTATATATAAATATCTACTATATAGGAGGAGGTCCCTGAACAAAGGACCTTGGCAAGCTGCTGGCATCCAATTGAATCCAGCATCAATTCAGATGGCCCGGCGATGACATCCCGAACAAAAGGGGCGGCGGAAGGGGGAAAAGTGGAAGAGTGAAGAGGGGAAAAGCGGAAAAGCAGAAATGAAATGAATTATGTTAAGCATGCAAATTTGAATAAAAACAAACAAAGAAGTGACAAGGAAAAAAGAAACTGCAAAACAGGGTAAAAAAAGAACAGAAAAAAAGGACATAACTGGCAAGGACATGGACATGAACACAGAGACTCCTGTCCTGCAAAAATCAACTGCCAATTGCAATTTGCCAGGCCGTGTAAATAAAACATTTTAACAACATTTACTACAGACACCGAAGCCACACACAAAAATAGTGTGAAGCGATGGAAGTCCGCATTTGAAGAGCTTGGGATGATTATACAATTTCAGTGGAAAGAAAATATAATTTTAAATGACATAAATAAATCACTATAAATAATTTAATAAACGAAATGCTCTGAAAGCTAAGATACTTTTATTTGAATCAAGGTCGAAAATATTACATTCGATATGAAAACTTCGGATTTCCTGCGTAATATTTTTTTTTAATAATTTGATTTTAAACTATATTTCTTGCAAAAACCCTACTAAATAAAATTATTCCAATTTTCTCAACTTAGTCTAGAGACCTTTTTGATTTTTCTTGGCCTGTCAGTCAGTTCAAAATTCACTGCGCAGTAAAGCCGAACTTCGGAAAGATGCCCTCAACTTGATCACTATGGAAACACCAGACACCACTTCATCACTGTCACATCTCAGCGAGATCTCGCTGAAATCTCTGGGGATCGGAGTAGCTGGGAAGAGCGGGAAGGCGGAAATCGATTCCCTCGATTGGCACTTGCTGTTCCACTCCATCCGGCCAAACATTCGCAAGAAGTCCGACCTGTTGATCGCCCTCATCCACCTGCTGGTCACCAAGGAGTACCGCCTGCGAGGAGCCACCAAGGCGGAGGCCATTACAAATTTCAGTGGCAGGCAGATGGCCGGAGGCAGTGGCAGTGACTTGCTGCCCCAACACTGGAATCGCGATGCCCATCGCTACTCACTGAACTACGTGGATGAGCTGGGCAGCCAGTACGTCCTAATGGCCAAGCTGAGTCGTCGGGATCTGGTGATCAGCCTGCAGAACTCGACCAGCAAACGAATGTCCATCGCCTGTCTGCAGCCCGAGAATCTGGTGATGTCTACGACTAGATCGTCCTTCGGGAAGTGCCTGCCGGGGGTGGAGAAGATAATGCAGCGTCTGCGTTTCGATCTGGTGGATCCGGCAGTGCGGGGAGTTCGCAAGAGGGATCCTCTCGGTCTCCGGTCTGTGGCGACATCCTCCAGGTTGACCTTCCAGCACAGCAAGAGCATCCATGCCCTGGCCAGCGAGGAGTCCTCTTAGAAGTGGATTCTGTTTTAAATCTAACCAAATCTTTTAATTTAATATATAGATACTAGATAATTCCTGAAGGAAATGTGATTTTATCAAGAAGATAAATAAAATAAAGTTGAACACAAAGAAAAAAGGAATTTCCAAACTGGAATCGAACCCATATGTTAAAGGTTATGGGTCAAATGCCTTAGCTGCTGATCTACCGAGTCAAGTTCGGCCCGGCCAACTAATAGATTACTTAAAGTTCAAAATAGTAACCCTATCCAATTTTTAACAAATCCAAGTAGGTGAGGTTCAAGTTTAACCCTAGGACGCTGTCACATCGCCGCCGGCGGCAGTGTAGTGAGCTCAGTATCGAGTTGTCAGTTTGCAATTTGTACATTGCCGCCGGTCCGGGTTCGAATCCCGGTAGTAAGTAGCATGGCCCAAAAGCAGATGGCAAGAGAGATCGCGATCAAGAACCAGAAATAAGTTATTTCAAATTGCAATCAACAGTCCAAAGAGTCATTGCATACATAATATTCAAGTGTAAATAAAAAAAACAATTTTTTTTACAAGCAAAAATTTTTTTATTTATTTATTTGTTCTGCAATTTAATAAATATAAATCAATTATCAATCAATTAAATTATCAATTAAAACAACTCAAAGTAAACGCTTATTACTCATACGCAATGTTGCACTACTAACGATGCCTTAATTACTCATACGACCTGTGGTCCTATAATAAACCACTTTTTTTTAACCATTTTAAATGCTATTTCTGAGTATATTGATGCGCATTTCTGGGATCAGAGCATTAGTTAGTCGATATCCTGTTTTATTTCATAACTGCGGTCGTAGGTTTTCGGTTCGGTTTTTCGGTTTTTTTCCGCCGTCTCGTTCTGTCAGGAATGATTGTCATTATTATTGTTGCTCCGCTCGCGCTTTGTCCCGCATTTATTATTTATTGTATTAATAATGCAGTCGCGCTGAAAATTTCATAATGTCCGGCCATGTCACTGAGGCAGTCAGCAGTTCGGCTCTCCTATGTTTTTGTTGTGGTGCTTTCATTTTTGTTGCATATCTGCGGATGTATTATTGGATGTTGACACTTTTGTTGTTGATGCAGCTGTGGTTGCGGCAAAGTTGACGTTGATGTGGATGTTGATGGCTGGTTCGGCTTGGTTTGGTTTTGGTTTTGGGTCGCCTGGAACCAGCGAAACCGCAAAAAACAAAGCCAAACCACCTCCGTTCGCATTCAGTGAAATAAAAACCACTGCGTAATGTGGAATATGAATATCACATTCAATTTCAGTGGCTAGCAAAGTATTTGCCATCCGTTCAAATGAAACTTAAAAGATAAACCAGCAGAACTTTGGCCATGTAATACAGATATTAGCCGGTTGATTAGGGTGGACCTATAAATAATATATTTTGCAAAAATTATGTGTTGAATAAATAAGTTGTTTATTTTAATCGTAGCATTCTCAAAATACTAATTGCTTTTATTATTTTTTAAACACGTTTTGCGTTATATATTAACTACAATCATTTATTTCTGACATAAGGTTCATCCCATTTTGAGGGTGTGTGAGTGCTGCAGCATCATCATAAAATTCAATTAAAGCGAAACGCACACAATCAAACAAAAGATCAAATTAAATGCCGGCTAGCAATTTACTTCGCTGATGTAAGAGGGCGTGGCAGCTAACCCACAGAATGGCATACCATGTGTGAGTGGGATTTCTATGGGTGTTTTATATACTGCGAAAAAATCTAACCAAGGAAAAGTAAGAGTAATTATTTCATTTTTTTTTCTTCCCTTTGGATTTCAAAGTAAAATGTAATGTAATAATATGGGGGATAAATAACCCCCACTCGGGTGAAAGATATAAGAAAATTGGGTATTCAAAAAGTAGGCAACAAAACTTCTGTTCTAAAATTGCCCCACAACCAAATCTTGGATTCGCTACTAATTAAACCTGTGACTAACAAATGTGTCTTAATATTTTAATCAGGAATTTATATATATTTTTTTAGGTTTTTCTCTCCGTGTACCTATGTTCAAATATATATGTATGTGTAGAAGCGTGTGGCATAGACAACGGCACGCATTGCGGTTTAACGCGCTTTTCATTACTTGGCGCGGGATGAAGGAGGCTGTATGGCTGCCAAAGGAACATCAAAGGAGGTGCCCACACAGACGTGGAAGGACATGAACAAGAACAAGGACAAGGACAAGTTGCTGCGGTATTTTTACGACCATTTCAGTTTCGTAATGGCAATCGAAAAGCTTGTACAACCACACAAGCACACACACACAAAGGGGGTGCACCGAAAATCATATAAAAGTCATTGAGACTTAGTTAAGCCAGCGATATTAACCAATGTAGAAAGGAGCAGGGAAAAAGAACAGGGGAATGGTTAGGGTTATGCGGATGGATGATAATAAACTAAGCCAGCCACAAAGACGATACGGCGACACTAAAGTCCACATGTCACAACGGACATTAGCGGCAGACCGGAAAACCCGCAGAAATGGCAAGAAAAATTAGAATTTTCTCCTTGACCGAAGATCGAGAAAAGTAGTTAACTTAAATGGAAATAAAAAGCAGGCAGCGCATTTTAGATACATTTAAATAAATATACATATATCATAATAGGTTGTCAAAAATGTTATTAAATTTCAAAAGAACAAGAACTTAGAACATTATTACAACTAATTTAGTCCCATTTTAAAAAAGGATATAAAGGCAGATTTTCTACTTAACCAAAGATTGAGAAAAGCAATTAACTTAAATGGAAATAAAGAGCAGGAAGCGGATTTTAGTAAATAAATATTATATAAAACTTAAATATATTTTAGAATAAATTATTACAACTAATTTAGGTTTAATGTTTCCAAAAAGTAATTAATTACCAAAATAGTATTGCAAATAAGTCTGCATGAAAAGGAACTTTTAATTTTTAATTGAATTTATATCCATATCCATGATGGTCATCAATGAGGCTGAATTTAAATACCAAGCGGCCGGCAATCAATTTCCATTCTGGCAAAGTGCTCCGTGCGTTTAATCAATAAGTTTTCCGCCAAATGCAATCCATCCATCACCGCCAATCAGCCGGAAAATGGCTGACCACAATCCAGTGTCCATTATCTGGCAATTTCTGGATACTGGATTGCAAACCGAGGTGATAGCGGCGATGACACGGGTTTCTACTTTATAGCAAGGCCCCGTCCCCTGTTGTTAACCCATGAAAGCCCCAGTGGCGCCATCTTGCGTGCAGGCAATTACAAAGTTTTGGGCGCTGCATTTAATTAGGTACGGCAGCAATCGGCCATCAGGCATCAGCATTTGTTATAGTCGCTGTACAATGTACCAAACTAATAGCTGACCGCTCGGGGCGACTTTTTGCCAACAAATGAAGGGGGAGGAGTTTTGGGGATGGGGATGGGAGCTTAAGGGTAATGGGTAATGGGGCACGGGCCCAACGAGCCGCTTAATTGAATGCCCTCGGCGTAAAGTGAAAAAAACCCACGAAAAACAGACTGAAAAACAAGTCGGCATTTTGAAATTTCCCTCCTCGACTTATAAATTACCTTTGGTCGCTTTTATATTGGTTTTTAATAGAATTTTAGGGGATCATATTTAGGATATATATGAATCATAAATATAGATAGTAATAATTCATTCAAATAAAATAAAAATGTATTTTTATTATTTAAGATTTATTTATCCAAAACCCCGAAAATCTAAATTAAGAAAAGAGCAATAGGAATTAGCTATCTTGAAAATAGGAAATTTACTATTGGTATATAAATTTTTGAAATATTTTTATAAAGGTTACTTTTGTAGGCTCACTAACATGATTTAAAGGAGTATCCCATACTTTTATGATGTAAATAAAAAAATATTTTGTATATATTTTAAAATTATTTTTTATGTTAAAAATTATTATACAGCTTTTGAATCACTTGAGGAACGCGATACACCCCTCTTGAAGATGGGAAAACACGTAAAGGAAACTGAAGAAAAGCAAAAATTATACATTGTATTATCGGCTGCAGAACAAGGCGAAGGGAGAGAGTTCGAGGGTTAGGGGTGAGAAAGTAGGATGTTGTCCCAAGCATTTGGCTTCGACTTTGGCTCTTTCCCGCCGGCTGTTTGTTAATGGCAAAGCTCGAGCAAATTTTCATGTTGGCTTAGACAAAACGGCCCAGCTGCACCGCCGCCGCAGAAATTGGCCTTTTTATTGTGTAACTCGCCATGGCGGCGAAGGACCTTCTCCCCTGCTTCCCCAGCTCCTTAATTTCAAAAAGCTGCGACCACAAGCCGCCGCGCAGAATAGCACCTTCTGCTCGTATTCCCCTCCACTTTACACAGAGAAAAAAGAAAATACAAATAAAATGAAAAGTCAAAAATTAATAGTTTTACAGTATTTTTTAAATCCTTTAGGCAAATAAATAAAATATACATTTTTATAGATATTCAGAATATGTTGAAATTTTTAAATTAGGTTCCAATTTGCCTGTTGATATTATTTAATTTTCTGAATTAATTACCATAAATATATGAGAATTTACTGTTGGCAAAAAATGTAAAATGTTTTTAGAAAAATTTAAAGAAATCTTAATAATTTTTCGTGTGCGTTTTTTCGCTCATTTATTTGCAGGAACATAAGCAGGCGGCTTTATGAAATGCCAGCGGCGGTTGTTGGCCATTTCGGTAACTGGTAACTGCGAAAAGCGACGACGGTAACAGCAACAAAGGACAACCGCTGGCAAAGAGCTGCAAAATAGAAAACAAAAAATTAAACCAAAATATGCAACATTTTTCTTTTAGTTGATGCGCGAGAGCAAACAGAATTTCATCATAGAGCTCAAAAATATGTATATGTACGGATATTGGCAAAAATATTTTTTCCACAGAATTTAATAAAACGAGGAGAGACAAACACGAGATGTCATGGGCCCCAATTCATATCACTTTGTGCCTCAAAGCGAAAAACCGAAGCTGGAATCATTAT